GACTCAGCCTTTCTATTCTGTCTCTCAGGAATTCTTGTTTGATTTTTGGGAGCCGTCTTGTGAGTGTTTCTGAGATGCTGATTAGCTCTGGCTGGTCTAACCTGGGTGTCAGACAACTCAGAGTTGATCTCAGACGTAAAAATAGAATTATCTTGGTAAATGGGTTAACTGTGCCTGTTTTGTGCTCATCGATCACAGGATAATGGCACTCATGAGCGCATCTTCAGTGCAAAGCCAAGTCAACCACAAGGCAGCAAATAAAAAGAGAAGGTGATTGGGGTTTTAATAAAGCTCTTCCTCAGACTTTTCCCATTTTCCCTCTTTTTTGGCCACTGTGGTGTGTTAAGGTGCCAGCCCACGACGGTGGCACTGCTGTGTCCAGGATTACAGGGTCACTTAAGTAAAGAAAATTCCTCCTCCAGAGCTCTGCCACAGTCTGACCTTCTGCCTCCATTCCTGGGTTATTTCCAGGATACCTCCATTCCTTCCCTCTGCATTTTTTTTCTGTTCTTTTGCATGATTTACAGCACCTTTCTCTAGGGCTCATTTGGGTTGTTTTGTTTTGTTTTGTTTTTTTCCTTCCCTTATGTTTTGCTGTAAACCTCAGATTGTAGCAGTGATGATCAAATATGACCCAAGGAAATAAATGACTCTCTAATATTTGTTTTGCTTTAACACAAGTGCATAAAAAACTTTCTACTGTTCCATTTCTCCACCAGCCTGCAAATTGTGGTGCTCCCACATGGATCTGAGTAGCCTCACCACTGGAAATGAAAATGTATCTGTCCTCAACTTCCATAAAGAAAAATAATTTAAGGGCCTGTAGCTGTTATCAGTTTGTCCTGAGGGAATTAATGTAAAAAACCCCACATTTTTCACTCTTAAAATATGAGATATGCATGTAAATTCTCAACTGCTGAACTCCCACTCTCTTCTGCAAAAAATAATTTTTGAATAGGAATTTTTTGTTTTACTGGAATAATACAAAAGGGAAAAGATAAATGATGTGATCTCCCTTGGCTGAATCTCCAGCAAAGGCAAATTTGCAGAACTCAGAAAAAAGTCAGCCTGAATTTAATCTGTAGAACCTGATCTTTGTTTACAGCAAACTGTTGGGCTGGTCTTCAGCAAGGCTGGAAATATAAGTAGTTCATCATTATTATGCCATCCAGATATGGCAGTAATGAAACAATATCAAAACCTATCCCTAAACCCACAAAAAATTAAATGAAACAACATTTGAAGTGTTCAGTTCAATCCTTCTACCACATTTGTTGTTTTGACTGTTGTTTTTTGCAGGGTGTTCCCCAAGGAGAGAAGGAAAGGGGAAGATAAGTTATGGGAATGCCAAAAGGGAAGGGCACTAAACCTAAGGAAATCAGTGTGGAAAACTAAAACTTCTAAGGAAGCCTCTTGAGTCTGGCAGTGGGAAAAAAACCAAAATCAAACCAGAAAAAAATGAAGGCAAATCCAAACTGTAAAATGGTGCCATTTTTCACACTCTATGAACAATCTGCAGGTGGAACAAAACCAGGTGTGGTGAGTTCTCCATCAGAAATGCCCAATTAGTGAGACACAACACAACCTGGATGAGTCAAAAACCAATAGTTATTGAAGAAGTCTGAGTGGGTGGCTCCACAGAGCCTGATCCACATCCAAGTGCTTAAAGCCCCAGCTGACAAACCCACTGCAGCAGGTGCCTGGTTTTAATCCATTTAAGCCAATAGGATGATTCAGTTACACATAATTACAACTAAAAAGCTGCATAAATACTTTATGAGAGAGAGGGAGGAAGTGGGTTTGGTCTCCTGATGGTACCTTGAGAAAAACGTGTCAGTGTGTGGCCATCACATCCCTCTGCTGTTTGTACCCCTCTAGAAAATGCAGAAGTTTGTTTCTTGCTGGGAAATCCTGCAAAAATCCACTTTTGGAAGAGGTCGGACTAAGGAACCATGAGCCACAGTTGTGCCTAGAAACAAATCTAAACAGATTTGGACACCTGGCAAGAGGGGAAGGAGTGAGGGATGTTTACGAAGCCACCGGTGCTGAGTTTCCTTGGTGCGGGGAAAGGGGCCTTGTGCAGATTCTGGGATTGAAGATCATTTAAACCTGCTCTATTTAGTCATAAAAACAAGCCCTGCTTGCCAGCTCAGGGTTTCTGACCAATGAAAACAGGTTGAGTTTTTCAGCCAAGTATTTTCCTTCCCCCAGGAGTGAGTTTATGGATAAAGTAGGACCAAGGAACTCAAGGAGGCTCTGGATGCCACACATCACCCAGTGCTGGCTCACACCATCACTCAGTGATGCTCATCACATATATTTTGGCTGCAGTGGCCCTGAAATGCTTACAGCCACATTCTCAGCCACTGTGTCCCATAGAAATGCTCAAAAAATTCATTTTTTGCGGTTTTTGTTCATGCTGAACTCAATGGCAATCCAAAATTCTTTGAGTTTAAAATGGTGGAGAGTTAACACCATACCTGAAGTGTTCCAAACAAGGTAAAATGAAGTAAAAACACAGTAAAGCCTATTTAAAAAGTGTTTTGTTTTTTTTTTATTACATATACATCTTTCTGTGTTGGAGTTCCTACTTGGTTGAAGCATTGACACATTTGCTGGTGGAGAGCTTAATGCATTTTTGTGTGGCTGGAGCACAAAACATAATTTAAAGTCTTTTTACTGCAGCAGGTACTATCAAATTGAGGACTTTGGTGCCTTAATCAGAAATGCTGGGAGAGGTTTCTATTCATTTGGATTTTACAGCCCTAAGTCCGTTCTGGAAGTGTCTTCACCCTTTCATTCCCTAAAGGAATGAGTGAGATATTTTCTCTCCTAATGAAACAATTTTATTGCTTTGGGTTTGCCCTGTTCTAACCCAGAGTGGCAGTGACAGCATCCAGCAAATCGTTTGTTCAAATCTCTCTGCAGACTGGATGAGCTCAAGGCCACATCCAGCCATTACACACACAACCTTCAGTGAATTGTGGATAAAATCCTGAGTATGTGAATTAGCACCAGCTCTCCCAAGTCAAGCTTTATCCTGCAAGTTCAAAGCACAAACTTAAGCCAACCTAACCTAACCCAACCAACCCCACAGGAACACAATGGATTTTATAACAATTTTTCCTAACAGATGAATGTTAGGAAAGGCATTTTGTGTCAGTACTTCTAGACTGTGACCTAAAAGTTGCCCTAAATGCTGGTTCAAGACTGTGCAGATTTTGCAAGGGGTATTCTCAGCCTAATGTGGTGGTGACAGATTTGTCCCACATAATTTTATAACAATTATCATCACCCAGCCAGTCACCCTGAGCTGGCAATTAACTTAAAAATCTTCTGATGGGGAGAAACACAAAAATGTTGTAGCCATGGGGCTACCTGAAAGCACAGGTATTCTGGATTCTGCAGGAAAATTCTGTATTTACACCCAGAAATGTTTCTGGATGGATGAGAAACAAACACTTCTCACTCAGCTCTCTGCAATTGTGCCCCAGTCCTGACCCAAAAACCCAGTGCAAACTGGATCCCAAAACAGGGATGAGAGGTTGGCTCACACTCCATGGCCTGTCCTGTCTTGGCTCCTCTGCCAATTGTCACAGACAATTATTCTGTGGCAATTTATTCCAGTTTCTGTGTCTTTCTACCCATTCATGGACCTTCTCAAGAAAATCCCATTCCAAGAATACAGATGCCAGTGAATCACAGAGAGGAGGAAGCACACAGGGACATTCCGAAGGGAATGAATCATGCTGCACACAGTTCTTGGGAAAAGCTGAGAGGAGGCTGCTCCGGGATTCAGCTGAGAGATGCTCAAGCAGAAATGTCATTATAACAACAGAGACAGGACTCAGGGTAAGGATACAGGAAAGCCAGCAACCAAGGAAGAAACTGGATGGATGGGAAAGAAAAGAGAGCCTTTTTTTCTGGTGCTATATGACATAAAAAACAGGTCCAGAGGGATCTGCTAGAGTGCTGTGCCCAGTCCCCTGCTATTATCAGCAGGCAGCTCATCTAATGCTCTGAATTTACTATGGAGGGCTCCTGTTTGTCTTTTTTTATTTATTTATTTTTTCCTGGATAACTTCTGATCACATCTCTTCATTTTGGTGATTTCAATTTCCTGCCTAAATTTATTCATTACTGGTATCCTCTTACGTCAGTGTGGCCTTTAGATAAACAGCCCTTCTCCCTCCTTAATGTTTGCTCCAGCTGATAACACTGAGTTTGAAAGGCAAAAAATAGCCCAACTCCTTTAATGCCCTTATTTATCATCCCAGTAGGGAAATCTCACAGTTGCAGACAGCGAGCGTGGGACACTGATTCCAATGAAAAATGGATGATGATGTGTGCACATAGATTTCCTGCCTGAAGTCCTGCAGGGATCAGGTCACTGGAGCCCAGAGAATCACCCACGTGCAGCTGCCTTCTCCCAAAGGGTTGAACAGCATTCCAGGCTCCAGGGAATTGATTAATTAGAGCCCACTACCTGTGGATGCACTTTACACACATGGCTCATGTGTAGGTGCTTACCCCATAGATAAATAAAATTAGTTATGTGAATTTGGATCTGACTCCCATCCTCACTGAAGGAAAAGGTTTTATTGAATCCCTAATCACAAGCCTCCTTAGACCAGGATCTCCAAAAAATTAGCCTGTGGCTGGGAGATGGACACAGGACTGACAGGAGCCCCAAAATCCTGTACAGCCTCACTTGTGGGTTTGACCTGATAAAATCCTTAAAGTTTGAAAAGGCCTCTAAGACTGTCAAGTCCATAAAATATAAATATATGCATTTTGGGCTCTGATAATCAATTTATTCCTTCGCCATATAAATCAAATGGCAGCAATCATGTTTGTTTTTTCTTTCCCTTTCAAATGACAAAATGATTTGAAATCTTCCCAAAGCACCGCCCCACATGCATTTGCAAGGTAAAATTTGGTGCATTGTTTAAGAGGGGCAACAAAACAAGGTGGAAATTTCAAAGTTCAAGGATACTTACTGAGCTCACGAAGCAGTGCTCGGACTCCCCACTTTCAAACAGGATGACATCCTTTATGAAGACTGCGATGGCTCTCATGATGAAGGACATGAAGAGGTGCATGTGAATGTAATTTCGAGTACAGTGTAGTTTTCTGTTGGGAAGAAATGAAGCATTTGTGAATAGCAAATCTTCTCAAAAGCATTATTTTTATATTTAAATGCTCCTTCTACCATGACATAGAGTCCCAATTAAACATTAGAAACCCTGAGACGGGCTCTGGTCTGATAACCATAACCACAAATCCACTTAAGCCTCTTTAATTCCACAGAACGTGGCAATCCACAAATCTGCAGCAGTACTGCTGCTTTTTCAGTCCTCAGAAAAACAGGAAAAAATACAGGATGACAGAAAACAGGTACATCCCACTGCTCTCCACAGGAAAAGAAATGTTTTTGACTGAGCAGACTGTGCTCATGATAACATTCTGTTTTCTACAGAATGTTTCTGCTGCAGTAATTCTTTTCAAAGTGAAATGTTTCTCCAAGCAGGCAAATAAATTCTTAGCATCTGTTGCCAGAATTAACACATATTACAGGCTTTCTGGAGCAATATGAACTATATTTTCACTTTAAAAATACTGTTTGTTAATGATACTGAGAACTACACCGGAGTTTTTCTATCCCTTGCCTGCTAATATTTTGAAGACGAATTCTGATTAAGTAGGAAGATTTTTTTCAAGAGAGACTTTACATCAGCTAAAGTGAAAGGCCTAATAGTCTGGAAATGGGAGCTTTGTACAGACACCAGAAGCACAGCAGACCTCACTCAGCAGCACAATCAAATCACCATCTCTTAACGAGCCACTGGCTGAGGTTGTGCTCATAATCTCCCATGATGGCAAAATAATGGGGCTGAGCTGAGTCCTCTGTGCCTGCAGGCTCAAGTCACGTTCAGCTGTTTCCCAGGAAGCAAAAACAGGATCCTCAGTGGTTCCACCAGCCTGGCTGGCACCTTATGGAGGTAATTTGCATGTGTCTGATTGATTCCTCCATTGTTAGAGGTGTGGAGAAAGCATGTGGGAGGAGAAAGGCAAAGTTCCTGAAGGGTGAGGCCAGCCTTGGTGTGAGAGTTACCCTAGAAAATGTGCCCTGTCTTACATGAGGAGATGGAACCTCATCCAAAGGGTTCTTCCATCTCACACAGGTCTGCTTTTTGCTCATCTCCCCTGAAATAAATGAATTTATAATAGGAGATTACATATATGCAGACTTCTTCATTGGGGGCACCCAAATTTAGATGCCTGAATCTATTACAAACAGCAGAGAGCAGGAATTGATCCATTTGCTGCAGTCTGGGATTCCAATGCCACCTGGTGAGCTGCAGACTGCCCATCCATCCATGAGGGCCTGGCTCTCCTGAAGGCCCTGCATCATATCTGCCACACTTGTGCACATCTCAGGGACACCAGCAAGTTTAAATGGCCCTGGGGGTCTCTGTGGCGGCAGGAAGTGTTTTTGGAAAAGACTTTGGGTGGATTGATGCAGGTTGCCCAGAGAAACTGTGGATGTTCCATCCCTGGAAGTGTCCAAGGCCAAGTTGGATGAGATTGGAGCAACCTGGGATAGTGGAAGGTGTCCCTGCCCATGGCAGGGGATGGCATGAGATGATCACTGAGGTCCCTGCCAACCCAAACCATTCTGGGATTTTGTGATCCTGGATATTTTTGGGATTATTTGGTATTTTGGATACCATTTTGAATACCTAGGTAGAAATTCCCTGGTATCCATATACAGCATTCTGGCAAGGACTCTGTGGACTGTAAAAATCTAACAGAGATCCATCACAGAACAGTCTGCCTTTGCTGAGATGCATCCATTTAAATAATTGGATTTGGGTTACAACTCTCACACAAAGGTCACAAATCACACGTCAGAACACGGTGACACTGAAAGATGGAGGAACCTTCCTCCACCATCCAGCACAGATTGACAGAAATCTTGGGCAGCTTCCCGTAAGACCCACAGCCTGTACAGCCTGTAAATTACCAGCCTTTGAGTCATCCCTGTGCCTTTTTCTGCTCGTGGTCTTACCTGAAGAGACACAGAATGATCATGGCAGCCGTGAGGGCGATGAGGGATAAGGTGTGGCCGATGGTGTAGCCGGTCTTGACCGTTCCGTAGAATGCTGTTTGCTGGTGTGAAAGAAAGAAAAGGCTTTCAAACAGGTCCAAAATGCACTCCTAAACACATTGCTGGGACAAGGAAATCATCCTTCTCCGTTCTCCTAAAACACCTCTGACTCCTTCACCCTTTAAAATCCCACCCAGGAGTGCAGGTGACTCCAACACCGCCGGTGTGAGTGTGAACCCATCTGCTTCTCCACACCTGGACAACTCCAAACCCAGGTTAAAGTTACACAAGGGGAAGGCTCCTGCTGAAGGGAGGCTGGTTTGACACCTGCAGACACAGCTACAGCCTAAAACCTTGTGGAACAGGAGTGACCAGTGTTCAGCTGAAGAGTGCACGATGCTGGGTCTGACCTGGTGAGTGTGGTTTTAATTTAATTTAATTTTAATTAATTTTATCAAGGAGGTCTGAAGGCAGAACTGTCTGGGAAATTGGTTTGCTTTTGTGGAATTTACACTGTGTTTAGGCAAGTAAAAACTTAAAACTGTTGACTCATAAATATGTGTTAAGTTGGAAATTGGTTCATGGTTTTTCTCTTAGCACACAGAGGAAATTTCTGAGCATGGGGCACTGCAGGACTTGGATCCAACAGGGAATCCCAGTCTAAATAAAATGGGCAAATAATCTCTCCAAAGCTCTCTAGCAACACTCTAAAACAATAGATTTTGATTTTCATCTTTAAAAAAAAAAAAGAAAAAAATCAAGAGGTAAAATTATTTAGATGTTAATCAATTAAAAAAATAATGTAAGTTTTTTTTGAGAATCTAACTCAGTTTATGGAAAATTTTATTTTATCCAGCTCTTGATTGACCTTCCTCTTCCCTCGCTGTTATTATCTTCTACAAACAACCCAAACAACCAAAACCGTGAAGAGCAGGTTAGGCAAAAAATCTAAATCCAACCTTGTTTGGAGAAATACTCTTCCATAACACTGAGGGCTGACATTTTTATGTGCTATTTTCACAGTCTTTGACAAGTATTTGGTACTTTACAGAACCAGTGAGGCTGGGATGAGTTGCAATCCTTTAGCATTTGCACAAGCCAGCTTGGAGAGGTGTTAAAACAAGAGAGTTTTCAGGGGTAACACTGGTCTTATCTTCAACCACACACCTCAGAGGTGGTTAAAGCACCGTGTCCTTACAGCCACACCACTGACAGCTTTGGGTCACTCTGAAGAGATAATTCAAGGGTTTCAGGACAATTTATCTGCCTGGTCTTGCCCAGTTAAAGCTCTGCAGGTGGGGTCTCACCTGAGGGGGGCAGAGGGGCAGAAACCCCCCTTTCCTTGCTGCCCAGGCTGTGGGATCAGCCCAGGAAACAATTGGATTTCTGGGATACAGGTGCACATGGTCAGCACACTCTCATCCACCAGCACCCCCAAGACAAAGTCTTCTTTCCAGCCTTCCTGGAGTTTGGGATCCCAAAGGCAGCTCTGACTTTTCTAATTAAAGCAGTCAGCCTCCCTCATGTTGATTTCATCTTTCTCTATTCTATATTTTTGATAGCAGCAGAACAGAAATATTCCAAAGACCTGGCCAGCAGAAGGAGGAGCTCGTGGTAGGGGACTGTAGGAAGAAGAAGTTTTCCCATATTTCCTTTAAGAGAGCAGAGAAAAGTAGACCTTCTGCTTCTTAGAGTTATTCTTAGGAGCAACTCATGCACAGAAAGTTCCTGGTGTTATTCAACAAGCAATTCCCTGCTTCCTTCCCCCTCCCCTCATATTTTATGGTGACTAACACTTCTTGTAGAGAGTGGGATGGTTCTTCACTCAGCTTTAATGCAGGATGTGGGGTCATCTCTGCTCTGGAAGCAGCACACAATGACTTCTCACTCTTCACTGCACTTGCTAATGACAGCTGGTTCCTATTTTAGAGATATCAAAGCAGAGAATTTGACCCAAGATCATAAATGGAACTGAAATTTCACTCGGGGTCCAGATTATAAAATATCCTTATTAGAAAAGAAAGGGATGCAGATAAGTGAAGGCAGTGCATGCCAGGATGCCTGACTGATTCACAGAATGAAATCAGGCAACTTCATCATTGTCTCTTTGACTTCTAAAAGCTTCTGCTTAATTTCACAGGACTGTGATAATAACAATTATTTGAGGTAGGTGCTAAATTGAGATTAACTGAGATTTATTTTCCTTGGTTTCTATTCAGAATATTCTATTCACTTGTCCCTTGGTTGACAATGGGAAACACTGACAATTTTGAGAGAAAAAGAAGAGAAATATTGAAATAAAGTCTTTCAGGAGCCAAATGTTTTGGGGCTCATGGCACTCATCCCAAAGGGTTCCCTCGAGACTAAATGAAAAGCAATTTCTTTGGAGAGAAATGTGGGCTGAACTGACCTCTGGAGGTGTCTCTTTACGTCACCATCTTCTGGCAGAACCTATGGAAACCCTGGGGTGTCCCCTCTGAGCAGATGGAAGCACATCAGGGAGCAGAGCATCACATCTGACAGGGGAGCAGGACAACAGCCCCGCTCCCCATTTGCTAATGCACCACTTTTAAAGGCCAGCTTGGACAAGGGCTCCTCATCACTGCGTGGACCCCAAGAGCAGCACTTTGGTACCTGCATCATCTGCTGCTTTAGGGACTGCCAGAATTCACAGCTAAAACCTTACACACTGCCCTTATTTATTTTTCACATTTTTTCTTGTTGTTTCTGACCTGAGACCAGAAGTTCATGAAGTGTTTTACTCCTGGAAGCTTATCAGTCTTTCCTGGACTTCATGTCCTGTACACCCTGCTGTTTTTTTCCTACTCCCTTTACTTCTTGCTCCCCAAATTCACTGCCAATTCAACAACAACAAAACAAAAATCTATTCTTCTTCACAGGCTGCTACCACATATTCACCCCCCTCAGCCACTTTTCACACAAATTGGACTTTAACAGCAGGAAAACAACTGTGCAAATCAGGAGAAAATAATTAAGAAAGAATTAAAAGAACACAATAGAGGTTCTCCTGGTAACACAGCACTCTGGCAACCGTAACCCATTGGGTGGCCAGAGCAAGTCCCAGGAATTCCCAAATCCCCTGTGCAGCAGGAGCACAAAGCAGAGCTCAGGGTGGGGGTCCCTCCACAGCAGAGCTGGAGCGATGGTTTTTGCAGGCACACAGCTCAGTCGAGGGATGGACACCTGAGGATGTGAAGTGCTGGCTGACCCTGAAGCCAGGCTTTCTTCAGCACAGTTCTCAAATTCTTTGTGCACCTCTCCCTTTGCTGTTTTCTGTTTCCTTTCACACTCAGAGCTGGCTCTGTCCTGCTCAGATCCCCTGTTAACTCTTTGAGTGCCTTGGCAATGTGTGACCATGCACAGAGACTTCTCACCACGTCGAGTCACAGAATCCCAGAATGGATTGGGCTGGAAGGGACCTCAAAAATCGTCTCATTCCACCCCCTGCCATTGGCAGGGACAACTTCCACTATCCCAGGATGCTCCAAGCCCTCTCCAGCCTGGCCTTGGTCACTTCCCAGGATGGGGCAGCCAGAGTTTCTCTGGGCACCCTGTGACAGGGCCTCAGAACCCTCACAGGGAGGAATTTCTTCCCAATTTCTCATCTAAATCTGCCCTCTTTCAACTTAACGCCATTCCCCCTTGTCCCATCACTCCATGCTCTTGTGAAAAATCCCCCTCCAGAATTTTTGTAAGCCCTCTTTAAATACTGGGAACACATATTAATTTATTATTGAGATTCCTATGTCCAACATTCACTGACGCTGAGGTATGTCTTAAACAACAACAAAAAGCATGGGGAGAGATTTAATTTAAACAAATTAACCTGTTATATAAAAATATAAATACTGCAACATTTCTTGCATAAGCTTTTCCTTGTTACAGGTGATTAGTTTAGATTAGATGCTGAACTTTGAGTTAGGTGAGGTGAATCTTGCTTCTGACATTTGTCATCCTCTTTAGACTTTACCCTTCATGTCTCAGCATGCAGCAAACCAGTAACAAACTCCTTCCTGTGGAATGACAATACTCTGTAAAGCTAATTATACCTAGGTCAGGGATTGCTGATTTATACACAAACAATATTCCAGAGAGCTTGCAGACTTCCCAACAACATTTAGTAAAATTTCATGAAAATCTGTGCTCCCTACAGAGCTCTAGATATTTAGTTGGTTGAGATTTGCAGAACAGCAAAACATAATTTTTATCCCTTTAGAGCTTTTGATGCTTATGGTGCCCCAGAAAGTCTGGAATCACCATATCCACTTAAGCATAAATATAAATGTGGAGGGCTTGTTTCAAAGTCTACTGTGGAAAATAAAACATCTGAAGTTACGTGTGGACATCACACAGACAATGGTCTGATCTTCCCAGGTCCTGAGACATCCTGGAAATTTTGGATGTCCCACCCCTGGAAGTGTTCAAGGCCAGGTTTGGAATAACCTGCTCTAGTGGAAGGTGTCCCTGCCCATGGCATAGGGTGGAGTGGGATGATCCCGAAATTCCCCTCCATCCCAAGCCTTTCCATAATTCTATGAGTCTATGACATCAAAGGGAAGATCGTTTCCTTGACCAAACATTTGAATTCTGCTTCCAAGCAGATCCTTAAGAAGATCCTTCCCTCTTGAGGAATCAGAGGGGGAATGGGAAAATTGGGCACTGGAAGATCATATAATTCTGATATTGATCCCTGTTAAATCTCGATGTCCACCCATCTGGGTTTACAAACCTCTTCCCCTGGGGTGCTGTTGGAATCATATCCACAAGCTACAGCGTAGGGTGCAGGGTACACATCAGACCAGCCCTGGCTTGTACAGTTCCTGGTCACATTCCCTGGAAGAAAAGGAAAAAACATGATTTAAAAAGAAACTTTCAGCTCACTATTAAAACATCTTCTGCCTTTTGAGGTATAAATGTCAAAGCACAATTCTTGTAACACTTAGAGTAAAACTCTCATACTTCTTCACAGTTATTAATTTTTCATATTACACAGAATTCATAAATGGGAGGCATTTTAAAGTCCAGACATCAGTAAAAAAAGTAGATTTTAATACAGAGGTGCACACAAAACATCTCCTCTAGTGGTACCACACTGGCAGTTGTACCCAGACCTTTGGCTGCTGGCTCTGCACCAGTATTGTTTGAATGTTTTATTGTCACATTGACTTTGTCCCTGGAAAATTTTTATCTAAACAGAGCAGTAAAATATTTATGCCTTTCACTCTGCCTGTGAGAAGCCAGGACAGGGATAGATAAAGTGTTCATTTCACATGATGAAGATAAGGCTGGGGGTCTGGGAACTAAATCCAGTCCTCCACACCCAGACCTTGCCCACAGCTGAGCCCTGATCCAATGTGATTCCTGGGAAATGTACTGCACTCTTGTTTGTGAGCAAAGCACTTCAAAATTTGGCTGTGAAGGGAGAAAATCCACACACTGCCAACCTGAATTGCCTGTTTTAACTTGTATACTCCAGGGCAGGAAGGTTTCCTGGACTGTCAAGCTCGCTGAGTGCCTGGGGCCTCTGACCAGCTGAAAAGAGCTTTAATTAACACAGGAACATCTCACTCCTTCAGCCAAGCTGTCAAAACTGAAGTTCACGTGGCTCCTTGGTACTCAGAACTGCCTGATCCATCCAGGATTCTAAGTGCAAAGCACTTCTCACTTAGTAAAACATCTCTGCTTCCTGTCCCAGCTGGACCTCAAACCCACACTGGCTTAATCCAGGAGAGCCCAGCACTCAGGATCAGCCTTACCCCAAGAGGTTTGTAGGCTAAAAGGCCAAGATATGGGTTTGTCAAAAAACCAACAAAGCAGAAATGCACCCAACAGCACAGAGTAAATTCCCCCAGCACCTTCTCTGACCACCAGTCCCACGCTGCCCACCTCACACAGATCCCACTCCTGGGGCATTCCACTGCTGCCATTCACCACACAAAACTGGAAATCTGGTCAGCACACCACAATGAACAGACACAAGTCAAACCTTGCTTCTGAAGGTGACAAATGACACCAGTGAAGCTCAAAGGGCTTTGGAAACATTTCCAACAATTGAGTTCTTTGCACACAAGAGTAAGAAAACTCCTGCAAATGGGAGCAAATCAGTTATGTAGCTGTGAGTCACGGAAATATTCAAGTATCACCTCCAGCAATTTCTGACACTTGAGTCATCTGAACCTCTTCCCAACCATGGGCTTGTTCTGCCCTGAAACCAGCAGCAGACAATCCCCTGCCTGGAGTCACTTCTCAAATCCCTGTGACAGGTGGATTTTGACACTAAAAATTGCCCCTTTAATCTGTCTTTGCAACAGATCTGAGTCCAGGAGGGCTCCCCAAAGGTGCCTTCGCTGGTTTTCACAGCTGCTCCAGAAGAAGCAAGTTCAGCACAGCTCCGTGGGCTGCTGTTCCCAGCCTTTCCCTGCACGGCCACTGTTTGCTGTTCCTTTCCCCAGGGTTCATATCAGGATCATAAAGGATCTTGTGCAAACAAATCAAGGACATGACTGTTCAGTACTTTCAGATTTTTTGAGGTGTTACGCAATTTCTGTTATTTCTTCTTTGTTACAATGGATCCCATTATCTGAACTTCATTGCTTCCCATTTCCTGCTCAAAACTCCTCCTCTCTGTTTGGGGATGGCTTAAGATTTCATGGTGGTTTTAAATCTTTGTTTCTTATTCTCAGTAAACTCAGGTGTGCTTCTTTCAGCTTATTTTTCTCCTATTTCTTCTTTTTAATTGCACTTCCTCACAATTTGATGATTATTTAAAATTTCTCACCTCTCTCAATAATTTCAAAAATTGTCCCAATGCAAGTGTGGAAACCAAGGCGGAGGGAAGAACAATGACAAAGAATCAGTGGGTTAAAAAAATAACAATAAAAATTACTTTGATTTTAGGGAAACTCGCTTCCCAGAGAAGTTTTTCTACCACCCTTTGGTGCTCATGTCACTTTTAGATGTGGAAATTCACACACATGTGATACAGGACACCTTTCTAAAACCTCTCATGTTCACCTGATGTCTGAGAGGTAAAAAAAGTACAAGGTTAGGAAATTTGTCACACCACAATTTGGCTCAAGTAATGGATGATGTCTCTCCACAGACCAAATAACATTTCTAATTACCACTGTTTAAAATATCACTTTCTACACTGAAAATGAGCATAAAATTTGGGAAAGTGCCCCACAAGCTTAGCTTTCCTCTGAGTTTTGCAGGGTTAGGTCAGACTGAAGTATTACACAGATTTTTATGTTCCAAGGTCAAATCCCAGCTCTGCCACAGATCCCTGATGAAAATGAGCCAGTTCTTGTGGGCTCCCTGGCTCTTGGTTTTTCCAGACTTTGGTAATAAAGTCTAATTATTTGTCAATGGAAAGGCAAATTTTTCAAAGCACCAGAACTTGTATTTGCCATTTTCCAGAGCTGTTTCTCACTGATTTGTGTAATACAAGTTCTCTCTAAAATGAGCACCAGTGGAGTACACTGAAAATCTGTAGTTCACTGAAATTCAGAATACATTGAAAATGACAGTATCAGAAAACACAAAGTTTCTGCGCTTGGAATTTACCTCCAGCCTTTCAAAGTTCACTAGATTTCCCGAATTTTCCCATTTCCTATCAGACTGGAGTTAAAATTTTTCAAACTGTACTCCTGGAGGTTTAATGAGGAGGGAGACCAGGGGTTTATAGCAATGTGGAGTGGAGGATATTCATTGAGAGCTGGAAGCTTCCCAGTACCAGTAGATTTGTGCTCCAGGCTCTCCTCTGTGTCGTGAAGAAAGAAGAAGCAAGTCCCTGGTGAGAAGAGAGTTCCCTCATTCTTGTGGTATTAGTTAAAGCTAATTAATGAATTAATCTGTGTTTTTTGGTGGGGTTTGTATTTAATTTGATCAATGTTACCACTGCCAAACTGAGCCTGTTCCTAAAAGAAATGAGGTGAGGTTTTCCATTAAAAAAAATAAATTGAAAAGGCACAACTAACTCTCATTTATTTTAGTAATTATCTCCTAATGCCTTGCAAGAGCTCGGTGTCCTGCTTCCACAGCATCCCGGAATGGTTGGGGTTGGAAAGGACCTCTGGGATCATCTGGCCCAAACCCCCTGCTCAGGTGTGGTCACCTAAAGTGGAAGCATGACCAGATGCCTTTTGGATATTCTTGGAATCCTTCGAGGATGGAGATTGCACAAGCAAAACTTGTCTCAGAATTTAGAATTATAAAATCTTTATAGAATGATTTGGGCTGGAAGGGACCCCAAAGCCCAGTTCCAACCTCCCTGCCATGGGCAGGGACCCTCCCACGAGTCCTCCTTGGTGTCACTGAGAACAATTTCCTTCCATTTGATGTGATTTGTTCATGACACAGCAGAAGAAGGAGGAGTTTGTGGAACAGAGAGAAAAACATTTTCTTTATCGGAGGTGTTTGATCTGGGTAGGAGTTAAACACTGAACAGATGAACTGAATAAATGCAGATTTGTTGTCTGTGTCTTGCTCTTTAGTTTTTTTATCTCTTACTTAATTTTTTTCTGCCTCTCATCTGTTCCAAACACACCTTTCAAACTCTGAGACATGTCTGAAAGTTCATGTTGCAGGTGAAGCTCTACCTCTTTGATCTTCTTGGGAAAATCCCTCTTACTGGCTTTTAACGGGAGTTTGAAATCAGACAAAGAGATCTGAGGTCAATCATGGCTCAGGGGTGGTGGGTTTTGCCCCCCTCTTGCTTTCCCTGCCCTTTTCTAACAACTTCTAACACAGAGGGGAAGGTGTGCTCTGCCCAGCAATCACTCCTGCTTCTCCAGCATCATATTCCACGGGCATAAATCGATTTCTTCAAGCAGAAACTATGAAAGCAGTAACACTTCTATTATTTACCATTCTTGAGACGCCGCTGGGCCCATTGGCACATCACTACTTTCATTTTTTGTTATTGATCTGCCCCACTGTTCCTGGGAAACACTTGAAACTTGCAGAGAGCTTGCACTTAGCTGGATGCTGAAGTGCTTAGGCCTGGGAAAAGCTTGTGGGGAAAGTCATGACAGGATAATTTCCCAATTTGCTTTCTCTGCCTCAGTCGTGGCCTCACAAGAGCCTTCTTTCAATGCAATTTCTGCCCAGTGTTTAACGTTTATTTTATATTTTTGCATTTCATAACTTCATGTCGTAGTAGAACCTGTGGCATTGGGTCAGCACATCAAACAAGACCGACTTTATTTTCTTCCTTTGTTGTTTTTCACATCACTTGGCCTGCAGATACTACTGCCACTTATCCAGTGCCCTGAAACTTTCTGCACCCTGTTTTTGTGGCAAAACTCAATTTTCCTTTCCCCTTCCTGCACTTTTCACTTCTAAGGGTGAAGATCTTTATAACACATACAAATTAATAAATATAGATAATTCCCCCTTTCTTAACTATAACAATGTTCCCCTTGATTAGGCACCTTCTGTGAACCGTTTTCTCATCCTAAACACGGAGCTGTCACATTTGAGGACAAAATTCTCATTTGATGTTTTGATACTGAAGTGAGAGGATTCCAGGAAACATCTAAGAGAAGAAGATGCACATTTTTGGGTAGAGGTGGGGGGTGTAGAATCCTTCAGAGGAGTGGGGCACAAGCATTGTGACACCTCAGCTGCGAACAAATCATGGAATCATAGAACGGACCTTGAAGGTCTCTTCCAGCCTGGTCATTCTGTGACTCTGTGTGATTCTCTTTAGGTTGGAAAAGCTCTCTAAGATCCTCCAGTCCAACCATTAACCCCACACTGCCCGGGCCACCATCAAATCATGTCCCCAGGTGCCACATACATGCATTTTTGAACACTTCCAGGGATGGTGATGCCTGCTCTGAGCCTCATTTTCTCCAGGTAATTTTGCCTTTTTGATATGAAGGCACACGTGGAGAGCAGAACACCTGTGCAGGTCGAGGGCTCTCACTGAAGAGAACTCCACAAAAACCACACTCAACTTCTTGGGTATTTTAATGACCATAGCAGCAAATAAATAATGGGTATGGTTCATTTTGGGGTTCTTTAGAGACGTGGCAATGTCTTCTTATCTGTTGCTCTCTGCTCATCCCTATCCTCATTTTATTCAATTTTTGTTCCTGTTTCAGAAGTGATGCAGAATAAAAAGTGTTGATGAAGGAGGGGAAAGGAAAGGGCAAATAAATTTAGAGCACCTGAAGAAAAAAGGAGTTTGTCAAGCCTGAATTCAGATGGATCTCACTTGCTGAGTGGGATTCCAGAGCTTGGTTGTGCCCATCCCCTCTCCCTTAGGTCAATTAATCTCAGAGCTGAAGCTTAAAAACCATCAGTGCTAATTTAACTTGTGAATGGTGGACATTTGCTTTTGGAGAACTGTGAGACATAAATCCCTATTACAAATGTCATCTTCCACGAATCAAAACAGAGCAGGAACACTCTGGTCGAGGGGTGGAAAGCAGTGCACTTTAATAATGAGAGGTGCCAAAAATATTTTCATCCATCTCCCTCACATGGCACTGACAAACGTTATGAAATAATGAAAATTTTCTGGATCTGTGAATGCCATAAAAAAACTAATGTCAAATGACATCAAGACAGTTTAAGGTTTTTAAATGCCACAAGATATTTTATCCTTTATTAACCATGAGATGGGATATTAGTCATTTGAAGAGCTTATTCTCCATGAGGCAGAAAAATCACATTAACTCTTTGTTTCCTGGTACTTCACCCTTTTCCTTCTGTAAATACATTAAAAAGATTTCCCCTGGCTCACAACTTGATAAAAGCTTTCATGTTCCTGCAAAGGGCTCAAGGAGTACGACACAAACATTACCCAGATGATTGAGTTCCTTGAAAGCTGCTCAGTGGCACTCACTGCTACCAAGGAAGAGCTGCTTCACAACCTTCAATGGCATTAAATTTGCAACAAATCCTATAAAACAGCAGGAAATCTTCCCCTCCCTCTGTTTAAGACCATCACTGCTTTCCCTGTTTGTTAATGGTTGTACAAAGCCTCTGACTGAGAGAGAATCAAAGCTGCTGCTCCTGCTTTGGGAATGGCATCAGTTGTTCTGTTGGTGCTCTGCTGAGGTGGAATTCAACTCTGTTGGAAGACATCCCATCTGCCAGAGCCACTCCACAATCTTTTGGTTGCAAATGGACAGAAATATGTGGTTTATGGATGGTATTAAACTCATCCTGGAGTGAGGACCTAAAAACCAGCTGGACTGTGCCTCTAAGGAGGTTCCTCACCTCTGACTGTGAAACCAGCCCAGAGATAGGCTGACTTATGGAGAACTTTAAAATCAGTTGATACAAATGCCATTTCAGGTTGGAAATTTGGCTTCCTGAATACAGGCATCTTTACACCAGCTGAGGAATCCTCGTGGATTTTAGATCCTCCAACATTTATCAAATGGTACCAGATGCTTATGGTTAAAAGCCTGAATGGAGCCATCAGTGTCTGTGCTGTGGGTGCCTCTCTGTGAGCTCAGTACCTGCATTCCTGCTCCAGTCAACAGAAAATTCATCAATAGAGCCCATGGCATCTCCAGAGCTGGGCAAGGACCTCCACAGCATCTTCAGCCAGTGCTGACCTCATTTCTGTGGACATTAATGGGGTCCTGGACACCAGTCTTGTACAGACACCCCTACTTTACAAACAGCAGAAAGGAAGAGTCCTGACTCTGCTTTCTGCAAAGAAACTCACCCTGTGCTTTACCAAACAGGATTTTTCATGCTGTTGTTCATCTGATCACTGTAAATGGATAATTCAAGTTGAGATGAACCACTGACCAAACTATACAATCATAAAATCGTAGAATGGATTGGGTTGGAAAAGACCTTAAAGCTCATCCAGTCCCACCCTCTGCCATGGGCAGGGAACACCTTCTACTATCCCAGGGTGCTCCAAGCTCCGTCCAACCTGACCTTGGACACTGCCAGGGATCCAGGGACAGCCACAGCTTCTCTGGGCACCCTGTGCTGGGAAGAATTTCCTCCTAAAATCTAATCTAACCCAGCCCTCTGTCAGTTTAAAGCCATTCCCTCTTGTTCTATCACTCCATACCCTTGTACAAACCAGCCAGATTTCCAGTGACTGGAACCCCTGGATGACATTCAGAAACCACATTAAACCAGAGGAAACTCCTCCAGAGCAACGTGAAATTGTCCCAGAAGGCTGCTGACCTTGCCAGCTGCAAGGCTGGGTGACATTTGATGAGGTCATGGCTCCCCCAAGAGCACAACTGGCCCCAGGGGTGTGCGGGGAAGGGTCGTGTCTGAGGCTCTTTCTTGGCTGGGCACACTGAGATGAGGGCACAGAGAGCCCAATTATGCTCTGAGTGCTCCGAGGGAAGTCTGGGCTTCTCCCAGAATAGGAATCATCCTCTAGACAGAACCACAAAGTCACTCAGGTTGGACAAGACCTCCAAGATCACCAATTCCAACCTGTGACTGATCCCCGCCTTCTTCCCAGCCCAGAGCACTGAGTGTCACCTCCAGGCCTTCCTTGGACACCTCCAGGGGTGGGAACTCCAACACCTCCCTGGACAGCCCCTTCTCACGCCTGACCACCATGAAAAAAAATTATCCTGATGTCCATCCTGAACCTCCCCTGGCCCAGCTTGAGGCCATTTCCTCTTGTCCTGTCCCTTGTTCCCTGGGAGCAGAGCCCAGCTCTCACCCAACCTAAGGTTCAGATACTCTGAAGTACCTGACAGATCCAATGACACAGAAACTATGGGAGATCTGCACTTTTCTGCAGGGGAACTCGGAGACCAGGATGTCCTGGGACATCTCAGAGAACAGCAGTTGCACCTGAACAGGCAAATTTATTGATTCTCATAAGCTCACCCTGCCACAAAATTAAAGATATTCCACTTTCCTTAGCTTAAGTCCAACACAGTCCCAATGATTAAAAAGGAAAAAAAATAAATATACATAAAATGGAACCTTAGAGTCACTGAGGTTTAAAAAGACCTCTAAGAACATCGAGTCCAGCCATTAACCCAACACTGCCAGGCCCCCACTAAACCATGTTCCTATTTTTGAACACTTCCCTGGACAATGAATCCACCACTTCCCTGGGCAGCCTGTTCCAGTGCTTGACCTCTCTATATAATCAAATATACACAATATTTTCTTCATTGCTCAGCTCTGGTGGGATGATGTACTAGAAAGCATTTTTAAGAGATTTTTCTTTGTGTTTTACTAACTCTGCCAATATATAAAACCCAGTGAGTGAATGCTGTGCTCGGGGGAGGGCACACAGCAGGAGCAGCAGGAAATTATCCCACATGGCTGATCCAATGCACAGGGGTCTTGTCCTGCAAGATGTGATATCACAGCAGCTTCTGCCTCTTCTCCCTGGCTGTTGACACAGGAGTGATGAGCCACCAGGGAATTTTGGAAATGAGAAGTCAGCGCTAGGATTGGACCCCAGAGACTTTGAAATTCCCTTCTGTGCCTGAAAAGAATTTTGATGTGGCCTTGAGCAAGTCATGTAATCAGCATGTGCTGGTTAATGAGCGCAGTGCCCAGGCCTGTTGAACAGGGATGATACTGTGCCCCTACCCCCATTCCTAATTTATCCCACGTGTTTGCTTTAAAAATGGCTTTAAAAATGGAGGGTCAGGATCTCCAGTGCAAAAGAACTTAATTCTCTGTTAAGGCCTGCAGGACTCCTATAATGAAACAGTGAAAAATAACTATAAACTACCTGGGGACACAATCAGCCCTGTTGCTGCATGGCCCCCTGAGACCTGAGTTTTAAACTAAAGCTTCTCAGAACACCCTGCACAGTGAGTTAGAGCCACCTCCTCCATTAACCTCCCCTGCTCATTGTTTGTCAGGTTAATTCCTTGGCCTGTGGCCACATCTGTCATTCCAGCAGAAAAAACAAAACAAAACAAAACTTTATTATGTACAGTTCCAATTTGTTTCTTTTCTGTCAGAGACTTAATTAATTATTGTGCTAAACTGCTCGTTTTGCACAACGAACTCAACTGTTCCACAGGTTGATTCAGTTTTCACTGCACAATATCCATATTATTGGATTTCACCAGGAGCCATTTTTGCATCCCTGTGCTCCACAGTCGCGGTGCTGCAAGTGCAGGGAGGATGTTTTGATGTTTGGGAATTCATGTATGGCTTGGAAACCTCCTTTACCTCTGGCTAAGAGCTGTTCTCTCCCCCTTTATTGAGATGTTCTTTCTGTGGAATGATGAGAAACCCCTTGGAGTGAAGCTGTGGAGCTGCTTTGCGATTTGCTTACCCAGGAAGGAGGTCAGGAATCTGAAGTACTTGGGGCACGGCCGTACCACGACTTCTCCCACCTCTGCTTCAGGCCAGCATGTGATGTTGTCCCACTGCCTCCTGCAGCCTGGGGAAGAGAGAAAAGCAGATGGTGGAGCACTCAGGAGTGCTGGATGCAGCAGAGCAGCTCTGCAAAGGTGTGTAGAGCCCCTCACCCCAGCACAGACACCTTTTGGAATGAAACCTCACAGAAATATTTCCTTTAGACACTCAGCTTTTAGATCCCCAAGTCCCTAAAATTCAGCACCATAATTTTCCAGAAACCAGTATGGAAAGAACAACAGACAAGGGCAAAAAAAAGAGGCAAATCAGGCTTGATAAAAGAACCATGTCTTCTCCTAGATTAAAAAGGCAGAAATTCCCAATTAAATATCTCTTTTCCTTGTCGTTGTCACTCCCTGTTGCATTAAACCCCTGATCTGAACCTGAGACACTGTCCCCTTCCTTCTCTGCTTCCCTGAAATGCCATCATATTTTTCTTCCCATGGCAATGATTGCGCAGCCCTCTCAGCAGGAAGGGGACACAGATGACAATCAAGGGATCCAGGACTAAAATCCCTTCACCAGATGCAGTTTTCTTCTTAAAAAGGGGAAAAGGCACCAAACTGCTGGAAGCTGAGCAGGAGATGATCCCTAAGGAAAAGTGAGGGAATGTGGCACATCCTGAGCTATCCAAGCTAGGAATGAAGGAAGAACCAACACAGGGAGAAAACACAGAGTTTTGTCAAAATGAGGCAGTGCTGAAGATTTTCTGGGCAGAATAGAAGCTTTTGTGGAAAGAAAAAAATGCCATGTCCTTTCCACAGATTTATAATGCTCTGATTTTGCCCTTTTATTTCTCAAAAGGCATTAATAATATCCCATGCATGCTGCATTGTTGGATCACGCAACATCAACGCTGAAGCCAAAAGGAGTTGGCAGATCTGAATTAAAAAAAAAATAAATAAAAAAAATAAAAGGAATCAAACACATTTCACATTTTTACATCGATATGTTACCATTTTAGAGCTCTTAGCAGAATTTTGACATTTTTTCCCCCCTGCTTTATATTTCCAACAGCCAAGCACTTCAGTTGCTGGCTGGGTGAGATGGATGGGTCGTCAGCAGAGCTCCCTTTCCCCAGCACCTGTGTTCTCAGTTATTTGTCACACCCCATTAGATGGAAACACTCCCCCAAATGTGACTCAGTGCTGTTGGGGCTGTTATAGGGGATGTGTTTGTTGACCTTGGGAGGTTAATTAAAGCTGTTACTGTTGGAGAGTTAATTGATGTTATGATAAAAGTTAGCTATGTTTAATTGTAAAGTTGTTAAGATGATTGTTAAGGATTTTGGAGTGTTCGGGGTTGATACTGGATTGGGGTCGGGTGGATAGAAGGGGGATCAGTAAGAAATATAAGGGGGCTTCTGGGGGCCTGGAATAGAACATTCAAGAACATGAAGGAATGAAATGTCATCAGCACCGCGAGTAATGATTGGAAGAAACATCCACCAATCATTCGACGCCCTGGGAAAATGATTGGACCAGGATGAACGCGGCTATGGACCAATGAGAGCCCAGGAAAGCAGCCAATCCCGAAAAGGATCCAAAATGGACCAATCCAGGCCTAAGGGAGGGTATAAAACAGGATGTTACGTGTTAGCGGGGGCTTTCTCTGTTCGGGAAATTGTTGGGATGCGTTGTTGCTGTCCTGGTTTGTAGGGTGGAGCACACAGGATTAGCCTGGGTTCTCCTTCAGCTGCAGCTCAGTATTAATAAACAGGCCAGGCTTTAATTACATCAAAAAGTCTCGAGCCTTGTTTATAACAGGGCCAGCAGCCCCACATGAGAGAGACTGGGATGTGAAGAGCAAAGTGGGGAGGAAATGTTGAGGAAATACTTCTCACGTGCCAGCAAAAGGAACTGTGAAAACCTCTGTCAGGCTGCACTTGTTGGTAATTATGCCCTGCTCTGAAATTCCTCCTTTAAATCATCTTCTGGTCCTTGAGCTAAGGAGGCAGATCTGTCCCAGATCGACAGAGAGCACACAGAAATGCTTTGAAGCTGAAAAAGAACCCTTAACTCGCTTTCAAAGTGATTTTACATGTTCCCCCTCCCCACTTCTTTCATGAACAAACTGAACTTTTCAAATGAAGTCCTGGCTGAGTTTATTGGAGCCTGAAAAATGGAATAAGTGATGGTATCTCCTTCACACAGCTCTCCTGCACAGCTCATTAAAAGTCAGGTTTCAGGTCCTTATATCAGGTGCCCAGCTCAGCTCTCACAGCCTCACTCTTATCTCCTACCAAACAGCTCCAAAAGTGTCAGGATATTAAAGATTCCACGGAAAATGATTCCATGACGGAATATTTCACATTCTACAGTCTTTTCCTCCGCCAACTGCAATAAATTAGAGTGCAGCTATTACCTCATGATAGGTTATAATACAAAATAAAAGCCATCTGATAGCATCAGATGGCTTTTTAAATGCCCTGAATTATGCACTCTGTGAGTTCTGGTGATCTGTATCTTTTTCTCTGTTGACATTTTTCAGCACCACCTGTGATGTGTGAAGAAAACCTTTAGGTGCTCACTTTTGTATCAAAAGCTTTTTTTTTTTTTTCCTGATTAAAAGGAAGTGAAACTGGCCTTGCAAGACACATAAAGTGTACTTTTACAAATTGTTGCTCTGTAAACACACCTTGTACCTGCCATTAGCTCTTACAACACCGATCTTCCTCATCACTGCCCTGGACACGCTGAAAATATTTCTGCAATAAATAAAGAAGGCAATGGAATCCAGAATTCTGGCTGGCAGTGCCTGTCACCACAGGATCAGCAAATCTTGGCATGGTTTGGGTTGGAATGAACCCTAAAGATCATCTCATCACAACTCCCTGCCACTACCCCAGGCTGCTCCAACCTGGCCTTGGACACTTCCAGGGATCCAGGGGCATCCACAGCTTCTCTGGGCCTTTTAACAGGACTGTGTCCTTCTTGTGCTAATTATCTGCAGTGCAGGAAAATCAGTGATTTTTAGTGAGCAGAAGAGAATAACTGGAGTTTAAAGAATTGGAATAATTGAAGATTGATACCTGCAAAATGCTTTACATGCACAGTCCAATCATCCCATCACAACTTCAGGTAGAACTTTGTGCCCTTACATCTGACCCAGCACACAGACAACCTTTCTCAAGGAACCTTCCAGAAAATGCTTTTCTTCCTCCCAAGCTGATAGACTTTATCCTGGAAAAGAGCTGGGATCTGGGGCTTGGCAGGCAAAAATCTGTGTGAGGGCAGAGACAGCTGCACTTGAAACAAGGAAATCCCTCTCTTCTCTGTGGCACCACTTGGATGTAGCAAAGATGACAAGTCTGACCTGATCACGTCGTGTTTGGGGATTGATAAGTGCTTCCTCATTAATTAATTATAAATGTTGTCATCTACCTTGCACTTGGTGTCTGCAGGGAGGATGCAAAGATATTTATCAATCCTCACTCAGTGCAGCAAGTGCCAATGAGTTAAAAACACACCCTCCCTCCACTTCCATCAAAAGAGCTGCTCTGCTGTTGTGCCTGTCCCAAAAAAACATGGGATGCACACTGCCAAGGGCTGTGCTTTGCTTTGGGAAGGATCCCAGGTGAGTCTGGGGGAGCTGTGTAAAAATCAGTGTGTGGGTTTTTTAAGTAAGCTTCACTTACCACCTCTCTGGGTGTCTCAGGTGTCTTTAAACTCTTGTCATTACAAAATTAAACCTTAAAAAATTAAATGAATTTTTAAAAGAAGAAGGTGGGTTTTTTTTTTCCCATTTTAATTATTTTAACTGTGACTCCCACACCCTCAGCTTTGCCCTACCCTTCCTTGCCAGACCAAGAAGCGCTGTGTGGAGCTGAATATCTTCTTCTGGAGGGCTGCAGGGAGAAATCCTTCATGCCTCTAGAGGAGCTGGAGCTCAGATCCCTCTGTGCAGCAGCTCAGCCTCCCTCTCTGCAAGCCAAATACCCCACAAGGAAGCCAAGGGCTGCATCAGCCTCTCTCAGAGCCCTCCTCTAAGGGGTTCTGGCTCAGAAGCTGCAGGGCATTCGGGGGCCCCAGCACACCTTTCCCACTGTCTCTGCTAAAAGTGGGGCAGAGCTCTCCCTTCCTCTCTCTTTAAAAGGTTAATAAACAGAAAACAGGTCAATTCTCATGAGGCACACTGGCATGCAGGACTGGCAGACTGAAGCATAAAAACCCATTTATTGGAGTCATATCTACGCTTACAGCAAATCGTGGTGGAAGCTTATCTAGGAAGCAGCAGAGAATAACTTCCCCTCATGAATAAACATGAATTCCCAGAGCTTTGGCACAGCCCTGAGATGGGACTTGGTCTGGCTGAGGAAAGAAATGAATGGCAGCAGGCTGGTACCAGGCACTCTCTGGAGCCAGGTGAACTCCCAGTTCAGGGAAAAACCCTTTCAGCACATCAGTCTCTCACTGAATCATGTAATCATTGAGGTTAGAAAAGACCTCCAAGGATATCGAGTCCAACCTCTGACCAAGCACCACCCCCAAACCCTCACACCAAATTCTCCCTAATGCCTGGGTGGGGATCACTCCAGGTCTCTTCTGAATGACATTCCCACATATTTTGCTCTTGGAATCCCTGCTCAGATGCAGAGATGCCCATTTGATGCCTAGGGTATCTCAGGAGCTCTCTTTACCCACAGGGATAACAGCAAGGCAAAGGCACAGCTCAGTTAAGCCAGGCTGAGCCATCCCAGGGCACCATCACAGCCTGGTGTGCTGCAATAAAATCTCATTTTCACTCCAATTTCATAGCAGCAGGCAGCTCCCAAGCTCTCAGGACTGTAAACAGCCATGGGGTGACATTTATTGTGCCCCTGACAAGCCCAGCCTTGGTGCTCACCCGTGGCTTGCCTCGTTACAAACGTCTCATTACAACAAATTATCACAGCATCTATCTCCCTGGCCAGCTGAGCACTGAGCCTGACTGAAGGCAACAGACTCCAAAAAATGGTGCCTGCAACAACCCAAAACTCAGCACCACCCAGGCAGTCTGAATTTAATCTCAGTGGAGGAAAGCCCT